TACAAACCAAATGTTTCGGAATGTTTTTAAGTTTGTAAACCGCTTCAGTCGCGTTAAGAGACATGCTGGCACTTAAAGCGTGATTGAGAAAGATTAAAGGCGACTTTACTTAGCTTCACAGAAGAAACATAACGATGCTGAGTACTTTCAATGGTCATTTATTTTTTTCTGTGTATTTCGAAAAACTGACGGTATAATTAGCTTGAAATGAACATCGAATTCTGCACACTCACATGGCGCCTGGGTGGCATCACGTTTTATTTAACTGCAGAGACAAGACTTAATTTCCAAGAGCCAAACTTTCAAGGTGCATCTTTTGATAAATGATCTTTCGTCTGGTATGGTTATAATGTCGAAATTTTAGGTACCAGGTGTCGTTTAAACCGGTCAAAGTTAGTCTTCATTTTGTCTCACAAAATATCGTGCAAAATACACCTCTATAAAAACGGCGTTAAAAATCATACCAAAGAGAACTACAGAAAAATTTTAATATGCTTTCACTTTGCAGTGATTATTGTGCAAAGTTTGAGGTTGAATAGACTTTCTCAGCGCTGCCAACATCTTCCTAAAGTTGCGTGACGATTTGACCGTTTAAGCAAGGCGAAAACGGTCTTTTCAACGAATTTTCAAACTTTTTAAATTTTCAGCCGGAAGAAAAATCGCTTGCACTTTAAAATATTTTTTTCGAAACAAGTTCACAGAAAGGGATGTTTTGGCAAAATAAAAAAAAATTCGAGTTTTCGTCACTGATTTTCGATTCTCGAAATATTCTGGCGGCTTCTCTTAAAGTGTTGCGAGTAGGACCGGCCAGCAGGCCTCAAGTTTTCTCAGTAGTGACAAAGGGGAGTGATAAAGATATTCGTGAGGAATATGTGAATATTCTCACTGGAGTTGGAAAGCTAAAGGACTATCAGCTTAAGATTCACGTTAAGAAGGACGTTACACCAATAGCCCAGCAAGTGCGGAGACTTCCTTTCGGTCTCAGAGACAGAGTTGATCAGAAACTCGATGATCTGCTCGACAAGGACATCATTGAAGAAGTACCAAACACCCCCACCGCGTGTGTGTCACCCTTGGTTGTAGCTCCTAAGCAAGATGGGGACACAAGGGTATGTGTCGACTTGAGCCGAGCAAACGAGGCAATCATACGGGAACGACACCCCCTCCCTACGATTGAAGAATTCCTATACGATTTCAATGGGTCAACAGTTTTCAGCAAGCTGGACCTCCGATGGGGACTCCACCAAATCGAGCTGGACGAGGAGTCACGGGAAAATACGACGTTCGTGACTCATCGAGGCTTATACCGTTACAAACGGCTGATGTTCGGAATCTCTTCAGCACCGAAGAAGTACCAGAAGATCATATCAGATGTTCTACAAGGCTGCAACGGCGTTGCAAACATTGCAAATGACCTCATCGTTCATGGGATAAATCTGGAAGATCATGACACGAACTTGCATGCAGTTTTAAAGCGGTTGCGTGAGAAGGGGTTGACCTCAAATGGAGAGAAATGCCGGTTCAGACTTCCGGAGTTGACTTTTTTTTGGGCATGATCTTAGTAGTGAGGGAGTCACGCCAAGTGAGGAGAAGATTGCAGCTGTGGTGAATGCCCAGGCACCCAAGAATGTTTCAGAAGTTCGTTCATTCGTACAACTTGTGCAGTACTCGTCAAAGTTTATTCCAAATTTCTCGCAAGTTGCAGAACCACTCAGGAAATTGCTCAAAAAGGGACAAACCTTTGTCTGGGGCATTGAGCAACAAGCATAATTTGAAAAGCTGAAGCAACTCATGACGTCAGCAAATACCCTTGCCTACTTTAGAGGAGACTGCAAGACAAGGATTGTAGCAGATGCAGGTCCAGATGGACTGGAAGCAAGTCTCCTCCAACTGCAGGACAACGAATGGATATTAGTATCATATGCTTCAAGGAACCTTACAGATGTTGAGAGACGCTACGCACAAACGGAAAAGGAAGCGCTGGCCCTGGTATGGGCGTGCAAAAGGTTCAATCTCTACGTCTGTGGACGCCAGTTCGAGCTCGAGACAGATCACAACCCGTTAGAATGTATTTTCAGTCCACGTTCCAAACCATCGGCAAGGATTGAACGTTGGGTGCTTCGTTTACAGTGCCACAACTACCGCGTAGTGTACCATCCCGGTAAAGGAAATATCGCAGATGCTTTGTCCAGATTGAACCAAACCAACCCAAAGGATCCAAGCAGTGAAAAAGAGGATTTTGTCAGATTTGTGGTGAAAGAAAGCACACCAGTTACTTTGAACCCTAGAGAAGTTGAGAGGGAGTCCGAGAATGATCCGGAGTTAGTGAGTGTACGTCGGTACATCCATTGAGGACATTGGTCTCAGTGCAAGATGCCTGGCTATATCTGTGTGAAGAATGAACTGTGTACCATAAGGCAGTTCGTACTGCGAGGAGACAGGATTGTGATACCACAGAGTCTCAGGAAATCAGTCTTAGAAGCAGCTCACGAGGTACACCAGGGGATAGCCAAGACAAATAGTAGACTAAGAACGAAGGTGTGGTGGCCCAAAGTGGACATGGATGTGGAACGAATGTGCAAAAGCTGCCATAGTTGTCAGGTTGTGGGACAATATTCACCTCCCGAACCGATGCTGAGGACTGAACCACCAACAGGACCCTGGCAGGATCTCGCGGCGGATTTAATGGGACCGCTGCCCACAGGTGAAAGTTTGTTAGTGGTAGTCGATTACTACAGTCGGTATTATGAGCTGTCAGTGATGCGGTCAACAACCACGCCCAAGATCATCATGGCGGTAAGAGAGATTTTTGCACGGTTTGGAAACCCACACTCGCTCAAGACGGATAATGGTCCGCAGTTCGTTATTTAGCAAGGAGTTCGAAGAGTTCTTACGTGAATGTGGAATTGAACACAAGAGGTCACCACCGCTATGGCCACAGGCCAATGGCGAGGTGGAAGGACAGAATAGATCTCTCTTGAAAACCCTGGCGATGGCAGAGGTAGAGGGGAAGAAGTGGGCAGACGAACTACCAAAGTATCTTATGGCGTATAGATCCACACCCCAATCATCGACAGGTGCCACTCCTGCCTTTCTCATGTTTGGGAGAGATCAAGTCTAAACTTCCAGAGTTAAGACCAGAACAGTCAGTAGTTAACGAAGACATTAGAGACAGAGACTGCAGTAACAAGTTAACTCAGAAAGCTTACGCCGATGACAAGCGAGGTGCGGTACCAAGCCCTATAATCCCTGGAGATCAAGTGCTTTTGAAGAACACAAAAAGCACTGGAAAATTAGTGCATAACTTTGAACCTGAACCATATACGGTTTTGGCAAAAGAAGGAAGCCAAATAACAGTTCAGTCTAGTAAAGGAACGATATATAACAAAGATAGTTCTTTTTGCAAACCGTACACTTCACCTGCGGAATCAAAAGTGCCGGGGGAGTACAGCAATGTTAAAGACACGGACACTTCAGACCAAAAGTCAATTGAGATTGAAACCTCTAGACCTAGGCGTATTATTAAAGCACCAGAAAGGTTTAAGGACTATGTTGTAGGGAAGCCCTAAGAGACTTCTGGACTTTTAAAAAGACCTTTTCAGTTTACGATTTCTGTTTTTGTAAGTTGTCGTTAGCCATTGTAATCTTTGAGCAGGTACAGTCAAAGCGGAAAGGAAGGAATGTAGTGTCTAGTTAAGCGCAAGGCATTGTAGGTTGCAAGAGGCAGCCATCTTGGAAAAACGTATGTGTGTGTGTGGAAAATAAAGTGGGTTGTGTTTTCAGGAAATCCAGTGTATTTTACTAGCCATCCAGCCCCGACAGTACAGTGATTAACTCCTTTGTTTGGAAACAGATAAAATCGATGTTAGCGCTTTCCCATATTGCAAGTACAGCAGTGTTTTTGCTCGATTGATCGAATATGAGCTTTCTGTGGGTTCTTAATTTAATGTCCACGACCGCAATTCGATTTTGTAGACATTTTACAGAATGGTTTGGTTGGGGTCTTCGTTTTGGTAATTACGAAAACTAAGAGGGGTCTTAGTTTTCGAGATTACGAAAATTAAGACCCCTAAATTTACCGTTTTCGTAATCTCGCCAACCAAGACGGATCTCAGGTCTTAGGTCTTCGTTTTCGAGGGTCTTAGTTTTCGTAACATCCATGGATGGACGAAGAAGGAAGGTTTTATCTCCACACTGTTTATTCAGAGAATGAACTTTTCGAGTGAGCGACACAGACTCGATTCTTGGAATTTGAAACGAAGTTCGAACGATTGTTTTGTTGTCATGGATATCATGTTACCGAGCACGTACTGTCAAGAAGGTAGTTTGGAAAATAAGGAACGCCGGAATTCGGAACCGGAATACTCAGAATACCCGGAATTCCCGGAATGACCGAAAAATAATAAATTTTAAAAAGATAAAAGTAAATCAATAAATAAATAAATAAGAATATTGATGATTAAAGATTAATGTTGAATTCACAACTTAATTAAACAATTTAATATGAAAATTTTCTCAGAGAGTCCCAAAAAAAAAAAAAAGAACTTACCGGCACTGTTCATGGAGATGCACATATTTGAATTAAAAAAAGTCTGCGTCAGGCCAAGTAGCCCATACAGCCTAAGCTGCATGTACTGATGGATTTTTCTAAACAAGGTTTATATTCAAAGGTATATATTCAAGGTATTTACAATAAAGCATGCGAAAAGGTGTAGAGTAACTGACAATCTCTCAATTTTAACTGTAGACGGCTGGCAGCTGCTTTGATAGCTCCCAATGTGTGGTTAATAATTATTTAAGGTAAAGTATTAATTTGTAATATTTCGGAGCTTTTTACAATTGAACTATTAAACAAATTGTAAATATTGCATTTGTTTAATCTTCTGCAATGGTTCCGGATGGAAAAGCGTGGCGGCCTAATGGTCATGGCGCCCTAGACGTCCTACAGGTGTGTAGATGAGTGGAGGCGAATTTGAAACAGGAAGAGACCATGTCATGGATTAACATCCCATCCAGGGGGAAGGGAGAGTACAAATATTTCGTCGCTTAGGCTGTATGGGCTACTGGACTGACGCAGACTTTTTTTTAATCCTAATACGTGCATCTCATGAACAGTGCCGGTAAGTGTTTATTTCTTGGGACCCTCAAAGAAAATTTTCGTATCAAACTGTTTAATTAAGTTGTGAATTTACTATCAATATTCTTATTTATTTATTAATTTATTTTAATTTTTTTAAAAATTATTATTTTTCGGTCATCCCGGAAATTCCGGGAATTCCGGGTATTCTGAGTATTCCGGTTTCGGTTCCGAATTCTGGCATTCCTTTTCTTCCAAACTAACCTGTTAAGAAACGTATGAAAATTTGCGTTTGTTTGCTTTTCTATGGAAGTTGATTAGTGCACAGGCGGCCCAAGCGTACTCTGTGTGACTTTGGGGTGTAAAGTGCATTAACGGTAATAACTAACTTATTAAGATCGAATTTCAAGCGTACATGTGGGTTAAAAAAAAAGGACAAATTATAAAAAATACACAGTTGACCGGTAGCACCACACGCGTTGCAAAGGTCGCCAAAACAGCGTTAAAAGGACCGTAAACGATAAGGAAGGTACGGAAAAAAGGAAAGGAGACTTCATACGATTTATTCCTCGCTTTTACCTTCCTTTTTAATTTTTTCTTAGTTTTTTTTTATAATTTTTCCTATTATACAGTTGACAGGTGACACCGCACGCATTAGAAAACGTGTCGCCAAAACAGCGTTAAATTTAAAACGACCGTTGGCAACAAAGCGGCTACAGAAAAAGGTGAGGAAACTTCATATGTTTTATTCCTCACTTTATTATCCTGTTAAATTTTTTCTTATTTTTCTTTTAACTTGTCCTTTTTTAACGGCCCACACGTACGCTTGAAATTCGATCTTAATACGTTAGTTATTACCGTTGTTGTGTATTCATTTAGTAGAGACACACGCTTACTACTATTCTATCTTTATTCGTTGATCAAGTATCTTATAAGCTGGTAGAATAGTCTTACTTAGTAACAGTACTTTCACATCACTCAGTTATCTTACAGTAATATCACTAACACTAGTACAAGTACTTTTACTGCGTTCTCAATACACTACATCCTTCCGGGGCAATGTTCAAAGAATCATAAGAAATATAATTAAAGGAATCACAAGTTTGAAATCAGAGTATGGTTAATTCAATAGTAAACGAAATTATCACAATCCCTCGTTGACTTAACCACCCTCCCAGACCTTGTGGTGATAACCTGGTCTCTCTCTGGGAGTTTTGCTCCACAACCTTACTAGAGGGCTCGGTGATAGTTTTCGCTGAAGGATCATTGGACTCCTTGGACTTAACACTAGTGTCTACGTCTATGTCATTACTAATATGCTTACTGGGCGCATGTTTTAGAAACTTTGCATTGCATTGAGTGTTGAAGTGGTGCCCGTGTCCACATTGACTAGACTAAACGTGTCTCTCGCTTTGGTCTCAATGATTACGTGGTTTGCCGGAGAGAAAGTTGAGTCTAGTTTGTTCTGCTTCATATTGGCACAAAATACGATGTCACCGATTTTTAAATCATGCGGTTCTGCATGCTGCTTGCTATCATGATAGTCCTTCAAACGCGCTTGATACAAATCGCATCAGGACCGATGTTCGCGGTCGAGTGCAGATAATGCGCTATCTGAATTGAACTCTATGTACGGTAGTTTTGTTCGAAGTTCGCGATTGATCAAAAGCTTATTAGGTGACTTTCCACTAATTTGATGCGGACTTGCTCTGTACAGCATGAGAATCTTAGGCAATTCCATTTGCCAGGATTTTCCTTCGCTGATGGCTGCTCGAAAGTTCTTCTTTAAGTATCGGTGAAATCTCTCTAATTTTCCGTTGCTTCGCGCATAATATGGAGAAACACGAATGTGTTTTATTCCACACGATATTAGAAATGCTTCAAATTCCGCGCTGACAAACTGTTTTCCGTTGTCAGAAACGATTTCTTCTGGAAACCCAAATCTAGCGAATATATCTTTCAACGCTTTTATTTCTTCGCGTGAAGTGATCTCTTGTAAAATGAACGCTTCCGGATATGATGAATAATAATCAATGTAAGTCAAAATATATTTTCCATCGACTGGACCAACAAGATCCACTGCACCTTTTATCTAAGGACCACGAGGTAAAGGTGTTGGTTGGAGCGGTGTGTACTTATTAAGAGGCTGGTTAACTACGCACGCTTGACAATTTTTCACCGTAGTTTCTGTTGTATCATCCATACCGGGCCAAAAAAAACGAGTTCGAAGAAACTGTTTAGTTTTGACGATTCCTTGACGAGTCTCGTGTGCTAATTTCAGAATTTTTTTTCGCAATGACTGTGGCACCACAATTCGGTTTCCTCAGAGAACAATTCCTTCGTAATTAGACAATTCGTCTTTTATTGCGCCATACGGGTTGAGATCACCCGTCAACGACCATTTTCCGCTTTGAACTTGAAGAAGTAATTGGGACAGCGTGATGTCTCTGCTAGTTTCGGATCGTATGTCAGCGAGGGTGACAGCCTGAAGGTGTGACACATTCGATGTGAAAACAAATCTTATGTAGGCTTCACAAACGAAACCAGAATCCGAAAAATCGTCTTGCTTTGACGGCAAACGCGACAACGAATCGGCTGTGTTGGCGTTGCCTGCGATATGCTGAATACGAAAGGTATACTGGTGCAATCTCCAAGCTAAGCGCTGAATGCGCGGTGGTAAACTTTTGCTCGAGTGCGGATTTAGCATAGTAGAGAGAGGCTTGTTGTCGGTTAGCAAGGTGAATTCTAAGCCAAACAGATAATCGTGCAAACGCTCAACAGCCCAAACGCAACCTAGCGCTTCGCGCTCAATCTGCGAATATTTCCTTTCCGTCGATGTAAGTGATCGACTGATATACGCGATCGGTTTACGCTCACCAGTTCCTTGATCTTGCAGTAGAATTGCCCCTAAACCGACCGGACTGGCATCAGAGACATCATACGTTGGAGCGTCTAAACGAAAACAAGCCAAGGCTGGTACGCCAGATAATGCTTCTTTCAAGGCTTCGAATGCTTTTACTTGCTCATTCCTCCACGACCACTTCTGTTCTTTCCGAGTGAGTTTTCGATGTGGTTCGACTATGTTCGCATAATTTGGGATAAACTTAGAAACATAGCCACAAGTTCCGAGAAACGATCGAAGATCGGATACGTTGTCGGGAGAAGGTGTAGCCTTGATAGCTTCTGTTTTCGCCGGATCAGGTTCGATTCCTTTTTCAGAGACAACATGGCCTAAAATCGAAATTTGCTTTACCCCAAATTCACACTTGCTACGATTGAGCTTGAGGTTGTGCTTACGGCATCGATTGAAAACTTTGCGGANGGTAGCGCTTCGCGCTCAATCTGCGAATATTTCCTTTCCGTCGATGTAAGTGATCGACTGATATACGCGATCGGTTTACGCTCACCAGTTCCTTGATCTTGCAGTAGAATTGCCCCTAAACCGACCGGACTGGCATCAGAGACAACATACGTTGGAGCGTCTAAACGAAAACAAGCCAAGGCTGGTGCGCCAGATAATGCTTCTTTCAAGGCTTCGAATGCCTTTACTTGCTCATTCCCCCACGACCACTTCTGTTCTTTCCGAGTGAGTTTTCGAAGTGGTTCGACTATGTTCGCATAATTTGGGATAAACTTAGAAACATAGCCACAAGTTCCGAGAAACGATCGAAGATCGGATACGTTGTCGGGAGAAGGTGTAGCCTTGATAGCTTCTGTTTTCGCCGGATCAGGTTCGATTCCTTTTTCAGAGACAACATGGCCTAAAATCGAAATTTGCTTTACCCCAAATTCACACTTGCTACGATTGAGCTTGAGGTTGTGCTTACGGCATCGATTGAAAACTTTGCGGATCCGCTGAGCGAGTTCAGCCATTGTCTTGCCATAGATAAGTACATCATCGACCGAAATGCGGACACCCTGGACGCCAAATAAATTTTATCCATCATTCTCTGGAACGCTTCGCTCGCGTCGCTGGGACCGAAAGGAGTTCGCTTAAATCGGTAATAACCACGAGGCGTACTAAACGTGGTGACACAACGCGACGACACCGCGGAAATACGTTTTTTAAGGCACGATACGGTATTTTATTGGTCAGCGGACACCTCAACGAAACCATAAAATGCCGTTAACTTTTACAATGTTTTCGCCGTGAGTCAAATCGACAGCGTAAAAAGGCAAAACTTAGAAAGAATACTGTAAACTTAGCTTTGAAACTCCATTCACCGTTTGGATAGTTCACAAGCTCAATTATTTAATTTGCCAAAGCCGAACTGAAGTTGCACAAGATATGAAATTGATGTTTTTCGCTGGCGGCTCCGTGGCAACTAAGTTTTGCTTATAGAAGAGCATGAGCACTAAGGCTAAAAATGAGACGGTTTTTGAATGGCTGAAGCCGTGATCCGAGGACGCTGCACCAACAGGTTTGTAAAGCAGTGGCTTGAACCGTCTAAATCAGCATGTCAACGGCATTCCGGTCAGATTCGCCGAGAAGACGAAACATGCCCGTGTAGCACGGACATCCTATACCCACTTGGCCAAAAACCTATGACTGTAACATGTATAGGACTGAAGCCCCCAAATATACAAAAACTGGCTCAACCAGAGGAAGAATGAACCGAGGTATGTTTAATTACAAAATATCCATTGTAATGGTACTAAATTAAGTTTTCACTTTCCACCTTAGTTTGTATTTTTTTTTTCCTAAGCTGTAATTTTTTTCTGACCAATAATTTTACTTTCCCAACAAGTATTTGTTTCCCATCACAATTATGAATAATTTGTAGTATGTCTTTTTTTTATGCTGCTCTTCACTCACTAATCATTTTATTTTATTTATTTCTTTTTGCTTTTTCTTTTCTTTCTTTACTAACTTACTGCCATCTGCAACGTAAAATGAAGTAAGCTAACAGAATGCTTCTGGTTTATATAGCTCCCTGATTCACAAAGTAACATTACCATCATGGTACTACTAGAAAACAAATGTTTAAAAAAACAAATGTCTAAAAAACAAAAGTACTGTAAGGTAAAATAATTATAATAATATAATTTAATCGATTTATGTGAATAAAGCACTGTATTGTCTTTTCTCATATTGCAACAGCCTTGAATGAATCAACTATCTTCTAAACTTGATTTCTTATATTCAGAAGCTGCCTGAATTATAAACAAAGAACTTATGTTGGGTGTTTATGCAGGTGGAAAGAACATAATGATTATGATGATTAATCGTCCAAATCAGAAATGTCAGAGAGAAATTATCAGAAGTATTTCTGAAGTCAAATGTTCAGGAGAAAATTGATTAGATTGAGTCAGCTGTCAATTCCCAGTTAACACTAAGTCATGAGGAGTAACCAAAAGCTTGTAATTAGCCTGTGTACTGCTGTGCCCCTCCAGTCAAATAAAAATCAGGGATGGGATATTCCCAAACGTAAACAATGATAGCACCATACAAATGTCCTTTTCCCAACTTATTACTGGGAAGGGGAGCACTAGTATGGCTACACTAGTTGTAGTCAATAAGAAATTCTTACTAATTTCAGCAATATACAT